GACTATGGTGTATGCTAGGGAGCGTTCATGACAAAAGTGGTCTCTGCCCTCATACAGCCCAGAGTTTGAGCCATAGGAAGTCTGCAGGTGTTTGACCTGTACAGTTTTGTTATTGTTTTTACAATTGAATTAATTTTCAGTTTTTAAATATTAAGAGGTTTTACATAAAAAATCTCTCGATTTCTGGATTTTCTTGAAAAACTGGAAAATTTGGCATAACTGGGCAAACTGGATTTCCTCATGGTAGTAGTTTGCTAGCATTGGGTAGCCACTGCCCTTTTCAGATGTTTCATTAGATTTTCTAGATAAGCACAGTTTATGCAACTTCTTGAGGTCTTGGCTTCTACTCTTAACATTTCTTGGCAAGGTCTTGTAAACGTGTTAGATGAATGTTTAGTAGCTATCCAAATTTATGCCCAAAACTGATCTCTGATCTTATCTCTAAAACCTGTTCTTCTCATTCTTCTTTGTGTCTCTTCTTGTTGCTCAGGCAAAAACTTTAGTATCAGCCTTCATTTCTCTGTTCATCTCACAATCCATATCCAACGTGTCAGATTGTATTGGATGTATCTTCAAAATATATCTAAAATAACACAACTTATCCCTTCCACCCTCACTCCACCTCTCTGGTCCACGCCTCCATCATCTCTTGACTGGAGTATAGTAGTAGTTTTCTAATTGGTCTTCCTGCTTCCACCTTTGCCCTTCTACTGATATTTTAAAACAACAGCCAGAACATCCTTTAAAATGAAAGAACATATTATTCCTGTGCTTGGAATCTATTGAATCATGTTCTCATATAACTCAGAATAAAAGCCAAAGTTTTTGGGTTACATGACTTAACAAGGTACATCTTGTATATGCCATGTACATTTCTGTCTTAAGATCTTTGTCTTGCTTTTTCCATTGTTGTGAAATGTTCTTCTCAAATAGCTGCATGTGTAGGTTACTTAATTCTTTACTCAAAGGTTACCTTCTCAGTGAAGCCTGCACTGGCTATCCTGTTGAAAATTGCACCCCATCTTCATTTGCCAACCCTCCACTAACACATATGTCCCATACCTGTTTCTTTTTTCCCTATATTACTCTTACCTCCTTACATACCATTATTGTTTTTATCATATATCATTTGTTTTCCCCATTAGAATATAAACTATGCAAGGGGGGGAAATTTTGGTCTTTATTTAGTGGTGTATTCCAGACATAAGGAATGGTCTCTGGGACACATTTGGTGCTTAATAAATATTTGTTGAACAAATGAATCAATTTTAGTTTGCAGTCCCTGCTCTCCAGGTTGTTTTTCTTTTGGTTTTATAAGATATTACATAATAGCAAATACATTTATACTGCTTGTATACAAAAGACTATTTTAAGACTTTTATTTTAAACCCTCAATACTTCTACTCTGTGAGATAGAAACTGTTATTATCTACTCAATATAGACAAGTAAACATAGGTATTGAGAGTTTAAATAATTTTCCCAAAGTTACAACTTAGTAAAGAGAAGAACCAGGATTCGGATTTAGCTAATGTGGTACCTGAACCTGCTTTTAACTGTGACACTATGCTCCTCTTTTGATTTTAAGAAAATTAGCCCTTTATTATTGTGTTGTAGATCATTTTTTCTTATTTGCAACTTTTTGACTTAGTCTTGTGGTATTTTTTGCCTTTCAAATTACTTTTATGTAGTGAAAAGTAATCTATTAATATTTTCCTTTGAGAATTTTTAATTTATTTTTTAAGAAGGGCCTTCCTAATTCTAAGATTAAAAAATAAATTTACTTATTTTTCTTTCTTAATTTTCATTTGAAATAGAAGTTTAAGATAATCATACATATTTTACATCACCTTGACAGATTTTGTTTCAGGGTAACAAGACTAAATGTTGGAACAACATTTTGGAACCTAGCACTAATTCAAGTAAGAAGTAATTGTCTGAGGACAGGCCATAGGGATGGGCAGAAAAAGAGCAATTTCAATAAATAATTAGATAAAATCTGCAGGTTTTGGTGACAGATTGCCTGTGAGTTAAAAGAAGGACTCTGGGATCACTCCCTGATTTCTGGTTGTGAAAGTCTACAGGAGAAGGAGTATGTTTTGTTGTGGTGCCATTCACTGGTTGAATGGATGAATTGACTGAGTTAAGGTGAAACAGGAAGGAACGGGTTTAGAAGATAAAGTGACATTCAGTTTTTGATATAGCGAATTCGAGATGCCTTAGGAACAACTCATTTTCAACACTTTGGTTCATTAAGTAACTTGATAAATGAGTCATAGCTTAGGAAAGAAAACCCTAACTTAGGAAAGGAACTACAGAGGTAATTAAGTTTAGGTAAGTGTGGTAGAAACTAGGTGCATGAACTATTTTCTTGCCTATCTCCTCCCCCCAGAATTACTCCATCGGATGCAATATAATAACAGCTTGGACATAGCTTTAAAGACTGTAAAAGGACTGCATGTGATGTGGACATATTTGTAGTTAAGTTCATCACTCAGAAAAATTTAGATATTTTAAAACTAGGAAGGACTTAAAGGCCACCTAATTTAGCAATTTCAATTTATAATTTCTGAATATTCAATTTGCATAAAAGTAAACATAAGGACTTCCTTGTTCTTTAGGGAACTTTCAGATAAAGTTGTGGCAGAAGATACACTGAAATAATTTTCTTGGCAGGAAGGAATGTTTGCGATCAAGTAGATGTGGGTTTGAATTCACTTTTCTGGTTCTGTGATCTTGGGTAGTGTACTTTCTCTCTCTAAGCCTCAGTTTCCTTATCTGTTTTTTTTTTTTCTTTTGAGTTGGCGTCTCACTCTGTTGCCCAGACTGGAGTGCAGTGGCCGCTCCCGGCCACCGCGGCCTCGACCTGCTGGGCTCTGGCGATCCTTCCACCTCAGCCTTCCAAGTAGCTGGAACTACAGGTGTGCGCTACCATGCCCGGCTTATTATTTGATTTATTGTAGAGATGAAGTCTCGCCAAGTTGCCCAGGTGGGTCTCGAACCCGTGGGCTTAGGCAATCCACTCACCTCAGCCTCCCAAAGGCGCGGGATTACAGGCTGAGCCACTGAGCCTGGCTAGTTTCCTTATCTGTTAAATGAAAATAATAATTTTCTTTTAGCAGGGTTGATACCCCTTTCCAATAGTTTAGAGATTAAAGATAATGTATAGAAATCCCTGGCACTTATAATAGGCCTACTAAGTAGACAGAACCTCTTAATGATCATTTTCAGCCTGTTTCTATCTGGTGTCACAGTTTTATTTTATAGCCAATTACTCTAAGATAAATTGAATAACTAGATTCTAAACCATAGTTATTTGAAGATGCTTAATGGTTTGAAAGGTTGCAATGTATACATAAAAATTAATATTTATTAGTAATTTTTTATCTAAGGTTCAAAAAATGAGTCCTAGAGGGTTTTTTTACACTAGTTAATTAATTTATTATTCATAAAACTCTGTAAGATAGCCATTATCTTCATTATTGTATATATATTGCACATGAGCACATTGAAGTATAGAGGAGCTAAGTTACTTACTCAGAATTATATAGCTAGTATAAGTTAAAAGAAGAGATTTGAGTCCAGGCAGTCTGACTCCAGAGCCTCTGCTGTACTGCGTACCAGTAAGGCTCACTGCAGTGACAGTTTCACTTGCTCTACAGCTGTGATTATATGGTGACATCTTCTCCACTCCTACCCTCACAACAGAATCCACTGTAGAAATGTTCATAATCTTCTCTAAGTATGTGTTGTCCATGTTGCACCTATCCCTTTACCTTTGAGAAAATGAAAAATGTTTCTGAAAAAAAACTTGCTCCCTGTGTCAGCAGTGCAGGTGCATAAAAATTAAGATGCACTGTTTTCTAGTATTTATCAGAACTAACCTTTATTTGATCATTATGGATTTTCAAGAAGTATTTTATATATACAGCTTGATTTAATAGCTTAATAGCAACCTTGTGATAACTTGTATTGGTACTCTTATTTTCAAATGAAGAGGCAAAGTGTAAAGTAATTGAATAAATTGCCCAAGCTTGCACAACTAGGAAGTCTGAAATTGAATTGCAGTGGCTCAAAATTTTGAGCTTTTTAAAATGCTATATTACAGTGACTTGGTTTTCATTTATAATTAGGAACATTCTGTTGAAAGCCAAAACAGCTTTTCCAGTTTATTCTTCATACTGTGAATTTTAATTTTTGTGTTTATTTATGGTAATACTAAATTTAGATATAAAATTAATCAAGAAACAATAAACCACATTGATCTTCAGGCATTAGGCTCATTTTTAAAAGTTACAGTAAGTTTTTATATATGATAGTTAACAGAGATCCCAATTCCTCTACTCTAGCTCTTGCCCAGCCACAAATGTAATTTTCTTAAATTTTTGCTTTTTGGAAATCAAATTAGCTCCTATTTCTACTCAGATGACAAGTGGATATGCTTCCTCTTCTCTCTAGTAACTTTTTCTAGTCGATATCAACAGAGGCTGATTTGAAGCTCTTTACATATTCCAATCATCTGATAACTGGTGAAGCTATTATTGATTTCTGAGCAATAATAGCATTAGGCTATGTGTTATCTGACAAGTGTTACAGAAAAACTAGTTGGTCTGTGTGATAAAGTGATTTAAACCTTGGGCGGTGTACATTGGCAGTGATCATATGTTCATTGATGGCAGTATATTTTGTTGTTGCTCCTTTTGCTTTTCTTCTCTTTCACTTACTTTTGTTTCTTCATTCTTTGTTTCTTTCTCCTTTTCGCCTTTGCTTTCCTTTCTTATAGCTTAGGTCCTCTAAAGGTACTCCTGATTGGTTAGTGACAATGAAAGAAGTTTTCAGTTTCCACTGTAGGAAAGAGCTTTGGGGCAGAACCAGAAAAGGACAGTGGAGTTTAATCACCAAACATGGCATGCTCTTGTTTCTTGCAATCCAAAGAAATGCTTCATAGATTCCTAGTACTCTATATCATAAACTTAAACATTGTCATTAAACTTTATTTTAGGAACTGCAACCATGAATGAAGAAAACATAGATGGAACAAATGGGTGCAGTAAAGTTCGAACTGGTACTCAGAATGAGGCAGCATTACTTGCTTTGATGGAGAAGACTGGTTACAACATGGTTCAAGAAAATGGGCAAAGGAAATTTGGTGGTCCTCCTCCAGGTGTGAATTTATTTATATTCTTTTAAATTAAATGTTTAATGTAGCATATTGATTAGATGTATATACCTACAAGTATCCCCCAAAATTGTTCTTTCCTTATAACTGCTTTTAAGACCTCAACAATCATTTGTACTGTTTTGGGGAAAAGACGTAGATTATAAATGTTATTCATGCCTTTCTCTTGCATTTTTTTCCAACTCTCCTCTTGGTCTGAGAAGCAGGTGAGAAGGAAGTAAGGTTTAGGACAGTTGGGAAAAGGATACTCTGGGTATTAATTAGGAGATCCTTTGGGGAGGAATTTGAAAGAGCAGTGAGTAGAGGAATGGTATTGATACTAGAAAACCAGATGCAAGCAGGTATACAGATACAAAGTTTGCCCTTCTGCCAAGTAGCCAGTGCAGTTCCTTTGCTCCAAACTCTCCATTAACTTGATCACACTTAAAATTAATGGCCTCTAGTTACCTCAATGACTTCATCACTACCACGTTCCTCCTCCTTCAAGTACACTGTTGCCACAAATGGCATCCATACTCTATATTGGTCTAATATATAAAGGCCTTGCTTTTTCTTCTGTCTGCATGCTCTTCTCCCACATAATCCTCATGTCTCACTCCCTAATTTCATTCAGGTCTCTGCTTAAACCTTGTGTACCCAGAGATTTACTTGACCACTCTGTCAAAGATATTGCCCTTTAATGTGACTTGATTTTTTCTTTATAGCACTTATTGTTCACTTATTGTCTCCCTTATTTACTGAATATAAAACTTATGAGAGAGGGGGCTATATTTTGTTGATTGTTGTATCCCCACTATCTAGAATAGTGAGTGATGCATATAAGGCTCACAGCAAATATGTTGAATGAGTAAGTGATTGAATAGTGAATGTAAATATTTTATTAGAATTTTTATGTATCTATCTATTCTTTTAGGTTGGGAAGGGCCACCTCCACCCAGAGGCTGTGAAGTTTTTGTAGGAAAAATACCTCGTGATATGTATGAAGATGAGTTAGTTCCTGTATTTGAAAGAGCTGGGAAGATATATGAATTCCGACTTATGATGGAATTTAGTGGTGAAAATCGAGGCTATGCTTTTGTGATGTACACTACAAAAGAAGAAGCCCAGTTAGCCATCAGAATTCTTAATAATTATGAGATTCGACCAGGGAAGTTTATTGGTGTATGTGTAAGCTTGGATAATTGCAGATTATTTATTGGAGCTATTCCCAAGGAAAAGAAAAAAGAAGAAATTTTGGATGAAATGAAGAAAGTTACAGAAGGAGTTGTTGATGTCATTGTCTATCCAAGTGCAACAGATAAGACCAAAAATCGTGGTTTTGCATTTGTTGAATATGAATCTCACAGAGCTGCTGCTATGGCGAGGCGGAAACTAATTCCAGGTAAATTGTTTCTGTTAAAGGTTATTTTTCCATATTAATCTTATTATAAATATGGAAAAATTACAGTACATCATAGATCAATATTATCAAAGTATGTAATGCTCCTTAAAGAAGAGTAGATAATTATCCAAGAAAGGAAGTAAAATAAATGATTCTGAAAGACAAGAAATTGTTCTTGTAAAATGAGCCACATTTATAATGATTTATTGAATATGTATAATTTAATCAAACTGCTAATTGTTTAATAAAAATCCAAAGGGCAATACTTAATTCTTCTAATAAAGCTCTATTTCTGAAATGTTATTTGACTCTTAAATTTCACCCTAAGTTTTGGTTAGATTTGCCTTAGTAAAAACTTTTGTGTAAATAATAAACAAATATTTAACCAAATATATTAATGTGTATTTGAAGATATGCAAAGACACCGTTTTACCATCATTTTAAACTTTTATTCTTTGTTTTAATTGTCTTCAAATTAATTTTTTTTTTATAGGAACATTCCAGCTGTGGGGCCATACCATTCAGGTAGATTGGGCTGACCCAGAGAAAGAGGTTGATGAGGAAACCATGCAGAGAGTTAAAGTTCTCTATGTAAGAAATTTAATGATCTCAACTACAGAGGAAACAATTAAGGCAGAATTCAACAAATTTAAGCCTGGCACAGTTGAACGAGTAAAGAAACTTAGGGATTATGCTTTTGTTCACTTTTTCAATCGAGAAGATGCAGTGTCTGCTATGTCTGTTATGAATGGAAAATGCATTGATGGAGCAAGTATTGAGGTAACATTGGCAAAACCTGTAAATAAAGAAAACACTTGGAGACAACATGTTAATGGTCAGATTAGTCCCAATTCTGAAAGTCTGATTGTGTTTGCCAACAAAGAAGAAAGCCACTCAAAAACTCTAGGCAAGCCACCAGCTCTTCCTGCTCGTCTCAATGGTCAGCATAGCCCAAGCCCCCCTGAAATTGAAAGATGCACTTACCCTTTTTTTCCAGGAACAAAGCTTACACCAATTAGTATGTATTCTTTAAAATCCAATCATTTTAATTCTGCAGTAATGCATTTGGATTATTACTGCAACAAAAATAATTGGGCACCACCAGAATATTATTTATATTCAACTACAAGTCAAGATGGGAAAGTACTCTTGGTATATAAAATAGTTATTCCTGCTATTGCCAATGGATCCCAAAGTTACTTCATGCCAGACAAACTCTGTACTACCTTAGAAGATGCAAAGGAACTGGCAGCCCAGTTTACATTACTTCATTTGGGTAAGTTTAAAAAAAAACCTTTAAATTATATTGTAGAATATGAATGTAGGAAATCTTACTGTATTTATAAATTTGTTTATTTTTAACTCAACTTAAGTGGTACGTATTTAACATACGTGGAGCCCCACCCCACCCCAAAAGGAATTAATTTTTGGAGGTGGGCCCCTTGTAGTACAGGCTTCCTTCACTAGGTAAATGTTCTAGGAACCCATTGGCATCAGTGTACCAGCTAGCGTTGTTGTGAGAGTCTGCATTCAGCTTCAGTGAACTTTTTTGGAGAGTCTTTCAACACATTTGCCCATTTCATGATGAATGATTTACACGAAAAACCTGCCCACATTGCATTGAGCATTCAGCAATTTTTGACCAAAAGATGGCATGACCCCATGTCCCACCCTCCGTAGTTATCTGATCTTGCCCTGAGCAACTTTTTTTTGTTTCCCCAATGAAAACTGTCCTCAAAAGGAAAATAAGCACTAAAAGGCATCAAAATTGACTAGTTCAAAAAACTGTTTTGAGCAGTGGGAAAAGTGTCTTGATAAGTGTATAGCGTCAGATGGAAAGTACTTTGAAGGTTACTGAAGTTTAAACATGTAAGAATAAATTTTTTATACATTTATTTATTTATTTTTTTGAGTTGGAGTCTCACTCGGTCGCCCAGACTGGAGTGCAGTGGCCGCTCCCGGCCACCACAGCCTCACCTGCTGGGCTCCAGCGATCCTTCCGCCTCAGCCCTCCGAGTAGCCAGAATTACAGGCACGCGCTACTACACCCGGCTGATTTTTTGATTTACTGTAGAGATGAGGTCTCTTTGCCCAGGCGGGTCTCGAATCCGCGGGCTCAGGCAATCCACTCGCCTCAGCCTCCCAAAGGCGCGGGATTACAGTCTGAGCCACCGAGCCCAGCTTTTATACATTGATTTGCAATTTTTTATAAATAAATTCTGGGTTTTTTTTTTTATCCCTCCTTGTACGTTTTATTTCAATTTTATAAATTGATGATAAACTTTGCTGAAACTTGCCTCTTATGTAATCTTTCTACATTTAACTTTTTAAGTATTAGTTACCTTGAGGAAAATTTGGTTTTGATTCACTGTAGAGTTCATAACCCAATTTCATTAATTTATTGTCTTTATAATGATTCTCATTTGAAATAAAAATTTGTATGTAAGTTACAGGATTTATTAATTAAAGCAATTTATAAGAATGTCCCTGCATCTTTGGTGAAGTCTACACAATGATTTTTATTGAGGGCAGGAGTGGGGAGTTGGTAAATGAGAGGCATTTCAGATGAGTCATGTGTAGATACAGCTTTATGCTCACCAATCTGGAAATTTGTCATTATTATTCATGAAAGACAAAAAGCATCATTAACAGGTGTTTATGACCATTCTCTTCTTTGATTCCATGCTTTTAGAAAAGTAAGTTTTCTCTAATACTTTTGAGGGACAAATAAGAAAGACTTTGAAAGTTATGTAAAGTTATATTAACTGTAATACTTGACATTGTAAAGAAAGAGACATAAAACCACTCTGGTGTTTTCCTGCTTTCTGTTTTTTACTGTTATGTTGTCCTTTTTCTCTTCCTCTACCAGTTTGTCTAATTTTTTAATGCAGCTATAGATTTTAGTTGGTGATTATTTTGTGCCCATCTAATATTTGTCAGAGTAAGTGGCTTTTTGACAGTCAACAATAAAAGGGAAAGATCTACTGAGGATTATGATTGTTTCTTGATTATAATTGTCAAACTCTTAGCTTTAAATTGATTTTTTATATGATTGAAAAACTGATAACTGAAGTTTATATATATTTAAAATTAATAGTCTCAAATTTGTTTAAGAAAATGTAGTCAGAAGGGAGAGTTTTTTTTATGTATATATAGACTTATTTATCTACCATAGTCACTCCCATGGTTTTATGAATATTTTTAGAAGACTGATTTGGAGATATCTCCAGAATTTTAGAGTTGAAGGTAGAGTTCCCTTTAAAGAAACTTTTAAGTAGTGTCCTTAATTATTAGTTTGGAAATATTTGGGAATTTAACATCATCTATGTCAGTAAATTTTTAGGTAATGATATCTGTTGATGCACAAAATAGATTTCTTCCATGTTCAAAAAAATAAAGACCATCTAAGTTAAAGATAAAGTTAGGTGGATGGCAGATAATTCAAGTTAGAGTTCTTAGAGAAAAATGGGTCAAAATACTCTATTGGAATAGAATATAGGTGATTAGTTGCAGATCAGGTTTTCCCATAATACTGGAATCTGTTCTACCATGGTTATGCTGAAACATTTTATTTCTATCCCTTACATATTTAACTTAAACTTGTAAGATTCTTACAACACAGTCCTCTTAGTCTTTTAATAGCATATCTTTTCTTCTTATTTTTATTTTTATGGATTTAGGGGGTGCAAGTGCAGTTTTGTTTGTGGATATATTTTGTAGTGGTGAAGTCTGGGCTTTTAGTGTAACTATCACTTGAATCATACGCATGTACCCATTAGGTAACTTCTCATCTATCCCCCACCCCCTTATTGTTTCACCTTTGCAAGTCCCTGATGTTTGTTATTCTCCTCTCTATGTTCATGTGTACACATTATTTAAATCCCACTAAGTGAGGTCATGCGGTATTTGACTTTATTTCTGAGTTATTTCACTTAAGATAATGGCCTCCAGTTCCATCTCTGTTGCTGCAAAAGACATGAATGATCTCATTATTTTTTTATGACTGAGTAGTGAGTCCATGGTGTGTGTGTATAACAGATTTTCTTTATCCGATTTTCTATTGATGGATACTTAGGCTGATTCCATATCTTTACTATGGTGAATACTATTGCAATAAACAGGAGTACAGGTATCTTTTTTATATGATTTCTTCTCATTGCTGGACTGAATGATAGTTCTATTTTTGAGAAATCTCCAAATTGCTTTCAATAGAGGTTGTACTAATTTATATTTCCACCAACAGTGTATATTTTGTGGCAGATTTTTACATAGACATTGTTTGCCCATCTGATATCTGAGAAACATCAAATTTTCATATGGCACCAGATATTTTTTAGCAGCTTTTAACTCTTATTAGAATGCATCTTACTTCAAGTCCTAGGGCCACAGTTAACTAGTACTGACCTATATAGCTCCCTAAGAGAATCCCTGATCATGTACAGTAGTCTCAATTTAATTGATTAATTAATGATAAAAATTAATCCTTAGTGGGAGCATGCAGTTTGTCTTATTTTAGTTATCTATTTCAGATTTTATCAACTGTGTATCAAAGCTGGTTTTAATAAAAAGTTGAACAAGTTGTGTTTTATATATTTTCTCAGTCTGCATTCAGAGAAGAACTAATACAATGGAAGCAAGATTTAAGTATAAACAAAAAAATAGATGAAATCTTAGGACCTGTGTGGATGCAATAGCCTTGTCTTTGGACAGTAACAAACATTTTTATGGTGCTTGACTGGAATTATAAGTGAAATGGTTGTTGAAATAGAGGCAGGAAAATATTTCGATAACTGAGGAGGAGGAGGAGGAGAGAGAGACAGAAAGACTCAGGGAAGCAGAAGAACCAGAGATCAGGAGTCTAGTACACTTTGATCAGAAGACAAATACCAGACCTTCATAGGTCATTAAAGGAGGAGCCAAAAGTATGGACAGCCAGGAGGTTTCACTTTGCCATATGACAGGTTAAGAATAGATTGAGTGTTGCTATAGCAATATTCTGGCTCATTTTTTTTTTTTTGTCCTGTTGTTTTTGGAGCCTCTGAACTTAAAAGGGTTGATATCTTTTTAGTTCTAACTTCCTTTAGGTAAAGGGTAAGAATTTCATTGAATAGTTTGGGGTTGAGATCAGCTGGTGATAGTGATGTGTTCTTAGATGATCGGGGTGGTATGTTACTGCTTTCCTGCTAAATATTTACATGCTTCAAGTATTGAATTTTCTGAGGTCTTAAGAGGTTGTTATTGTTTCTATAGCCTTTCAAAGGTTCTGTATGTATTAAGTCATTTTTGGGGTTTTATTTTCTTAAATAATTTGAGAAATCTAATTTTCTAAATAATATATTTAACTAATGTCCTTAAGATATTTTCTGGCTTGGCGCAGTGTCTCATGCCTGTAATTCCAGCACTTTGGGAGGCTGAGGTGGGAGGATTGCTTGAGACCAACTTAAGCAACATAGTGAGACCTTGTGTCTATAAAAAAATTTAAAAAACAAGATTAGCCAGGCACAGTGGTACATGCCTGTTGTCCCAGCTATTCTAGAAGCTAAGGTGGAAGGATCAGCTGAGCCCAGGAGGGCGAGACTGTGGTGAGTTTGATCATGCCATTGCATTCCAGCCTGGATGACAGAGTGATACCTTGACTTAAAAAAAAAAAATACACACACACACACACACACACACACACACACACATTCTTTGGTGATGGTAATTTTTTTAAAAGAATTTGCCTCAGTATTCTTATTTTATCCCGTTCAGTTTGATGCTATTTTGGTTTATTATCCATTATCATACTTGATGATCTTTGACTATTATATGTGGTATAAACATTTACCTTTTTATTTTAGATCTCTTTAAGAATGTACTTTTAATAACCACATAGTTTTGGTATTACCATCTATTTTTCAAATTTGAAAAATAAAATAAAAAAGTATACTTTGTTTACTTAAATTACCATTATTGATGTTATGAAAAATATATATATGTGTTAGGGATAACGAGAACTAGAATTCAGGGAGTTTACTTTTGGTGACCATCTAATAACCTTACTGAAATCTCAAAAGTTCTTGGTTTATAGTGTCTTAAAATCAATTGTTAAAGTACGTTGATGCTTTGTTTTGTTTTTTGTTTGTTTGCTTGTTTTTGGTCCTATTTAAAGTGATCTCTATTTTAAACAAAATACCTTTACTAGAAGCAAAGCTACAAGCTGGGTTTAATGCTGGAATTGAGCCCTTTTTATTATTGTTTTTACTTTTTAAAAAATTATCTTATCTTCATGTCAGA